TTTTCTCCGGGTCCTCCGGTTTCCTCCCACTGCTAAAGACCCCTACGCGCAAGCGAATTATTGAATTCCTTTAGTGAGTCAGATATAATGTGGGTTTGCAGGGAATTGAAAAGTAATTAAATGGCGACCATCGGATTTAAAATAGACTTTATTTCATTAATTTTCCAAATGCAGGTGGGTATGATTTAAAGTAAAGCCACGCTTCCACTGGCCTTCACACTAAAAATGTGTGGACTCTAATTATAGATTTCTATAAATATGTTGTATCGAATGCCTTTATCGGGATAACAAGTGGAATATGTATATCAGAAATTTTTGGTGTAAGACATCTGTTTATTCTGCGATTATCCTGTTTTATTCCAGATCCAGATGGTAGCGATACCAATAAGACATTCTACACAGACCGGCTTATTGTTTTCGTATAAAATATTTTACTGTGATATCAACCAGGGGCAGTCATTGTTTAAAGATTAAATATACTTCATGAAAAATACAGACCCCTTGATCTCGAGGTCAAAGGTTGGTAGAATCAAGAAGATGCCTTATATGGTAGTATGTTATAAGAATCGGCTGTACATCTGCCCGAAGACAGAGGTCTGTATAACGATATACTCGTACCTTGACGATATTCGCTGGCCCCATATGGACAGAGTACGCGCGTACAACACGTTAAGCTATGTTTCACCGCTATGGTTAATTACGGTGTAGATAAACGAAGTATTCGATATGATACCAATTGACTAACCATGGTACCATACCAGGAAACGTTATAGAAGAGCATGGATGTTTTCACAATATTGCATAATCTCAGTGGGGATCGCCAACAGGGGTGAATTTCATTAATAAGTAGATTTACAATTTTTCAGAAAATGAGGAACAAACAAAAAATTCTTCACCGACTCTCAGTGCTGGTTGATAATTACTATATATATTCATCAGGCGCGTCTATTTTTTTTTTTTAAAAAAAATACAAAAAAAAATCCAACCGACATTAAAGCCACAATGCACCCAAAGACTGAAAGCCTGTTATTCTTTAGGTTATAGTAATCTTACCGATTAAATCAAGATACTTGGGTTACATGTTGACCTTGATGGTCATGGATAGGAACAAGTATAAGTCTTCATGAGATAACTAACGATCTGCTTGTCTGCGATATCATTCAATGTAGAAGCGGACGTTAAGCCTTAAGCAACGAACGAAATATCGATCTATGTAAAAAAAAAAAAAAAAAAGAATAATTATATATATAGTTAAGAATATTGTATCGGATAAGGATATTTTTATTTTATTGAAACATAAATAATAATTACATAAGAGATTTTATTTATATACGAACAGGAGAAAAAGCTGAACTATCACTTTTTATTTAGAATAAAACAGTCTACTTCGCGCGAGAAATTGGGATACGAAGTTTGTAATATTATATTAAAACGTCACGCCTAATAATGGCTGCGCCCACCAAGTTCAAGGTGAAATACGCAACGTGTATAGTCAATGAGAAAATTCCTTGTATATCACGTAGGAAAGAAATTTATTATAAAAACATTGGTGACATTTAGATAGTAAGAGAGATAACCAGTAAAAGAACTACATCGTATTATGTGTTATAAAAATGTCAATAGCCTCAATTGTCTTCTTCAGATTTTTGGGAAACTGAGATCGAACACACAGGTTGAGTCGGTTGTTAGATAAATCAACGGGAAGGGCGGTGGGGGTGGGGGTGCGATGAGATGTTTCATTGTATATCCTCCAACTCGATAATACAATAATTGGCTAACCTAAATCTGTTTTCGGGCATTTTTCTGTAACTGTAATCACGCCTCGACATCACTCACTCCACACTCTCCACTGTACACAATCACCACCCCACCCCACCCCACATAAAGATAGGTTGCCAGGCAACGAAACATACGCCCACAATAGTCAACAAGGGTTGTCGCATATTTTTTCTTTTGTCGGTAGCGGAAACATTTACAGTGCGCTTGGCATTTGTTTGGCATTTAGTCATCAAGAGCAATAACTCTAAAAATCAACAGCCTTATTCGTCTCGTGACCTTAAACACTATGTATAACTTTAAAGTCAATCGGATTATAACTTTGGTCTCCTAGAGCGTCAACAAGATTATTACTTTTTTTCAATAAGACCACGGTTCACAACTCTGGCAGTAATTATCGGAAATCGTCGAAAGTCAATAGACTTCTTCATTTCATGACCTTAACCAATATGCATAAATTTGAAGTCAATCAGATATTAACTTTAGGCTCTAGAGCATCCGCAAGATTTTTCAAAGTGATCAAGGGCCATAACTCTGGCAGTAATTATCGGAGATAGTAGGGTTTTTCGTCTCATGACCTTAACCAATACGCATAAATTTGAAGTCAATTGGAATATAACTTGAGCCTTCAACATACCTCATCGTCTAATAACCTTACTCGATGTGTATGACGTTGAAGTCAATCGGATAATAACTTTAGCCCCCAGAGCCCCCACAAGATCTATCAAATTGATCAAGGGCCATAACTCTGGAAGTATTTATCTGAAATCGCGGACAATCAATAGGCTTCTTCGTCACATGACCATAGACACTGTGTATAAATTTAAAGTCAATCGTGGGGGTTTGGGTGGCTGAATGGTTAGCACGTGCGCGCTGTATCATAAGGTCTGTCATTGAGTCAACTGGCGGATTAGTGAAATAAAATTGAACCATGTGTTAGTCAATCGTATAATTACTTTAGCATCTATACAGCGTCCAATTGTGGACGCCGGACAGACGGTCGGGGTGACGACAATACGATAACATTTCAATGTGGGCGTATAAAAAGATGTATGTAGATAAAGTCTTTGTTGATTTTGTTAATTATAATATATCGTACAAATTTCTAACTAATAAAACCCGTAATTCCATTCCACGGTTAATTCACCAAGATAAAATGAACCACCAGCACCCCCGAATATATATTTAAATAAATAACTTTATATCAGATGGAATGGGGGAAAAGTCATCGTTTCTATATTTATCTGATATTAACTTTTAAGTTATAGAAATAGATATGATGTTTGAGTAGGTGTTTAGGATGATATAGATAGAAGACATAGAAAATAAGGTGTATTTTACCGTCTCTATAAATACACAAGAAATACGTTCTCGAATCAAATAAGAAATGTCAAACAATCTTTAACGTGCACTGCCAATGTGCTCTCGATATACGTAATAATAATAAAGGAGTCAGATAGTGTTTCGGATGTGCTAAATGAAATCTACAGGTCCTGAGAGTGTTTTTTTGTGGGTTTTTTTTATTTCTTTTTTTTTAGTGGCGGGGGGAGTGTAAGTAGTTGTTAAGATGTTGATAATAGATGTAAGGGTTGATTTTTGTTTCTCCTATCTATAAATAAACATATACTCTTCTTGTCTTCTGCTATTTATATTTAGAATGACTAATAACAAAGAATGCTGATCTAGGTATATAGACTTCCTAAATTGCAGTTGTATATTCTTTATTTGTTTATTTTCATTTGCAATAGTCTATTATAGGATGTCCGTGTATGGACGGAAAATTGTCGCCGGGGGTCAAATCCACTGAGCCTCTCTCAAGGGTGGGGATATATTTTAATATACAACAATATAAGTGAAGATATTTTGTCATGTTTTAATATGAATGTGGTATAGGTAAATGAGATTACTTTCTATGTCAGATATACAGTCACTGTGAGATAAACAGACTGCATTTTCCCGGGGGTGGGGTGGGGGGCGTGTTCAATGCCACTGAAGTGAAATGCCATTTTGTGCTTTTCTATTTTGAAATTTAACAAATATTTCGCCGTGCTATGCTTTGTACTGATTCTAGTAATAAAATAATATTGTCTTTATGCACTTTATAATCAGTGCCCGTTTTAAATAAGACCGATGCATTAGTTGGACATAAAAACATATCAATTATCGCCGATATCAATATTTACGGGAATCAAAGGAAGTGGATAATAGCTAAGGCACACGCTTACTCTTCACAGAACACCTGGCACCACTTCTCATTTGTGCATTTGTGTAAAGAATATCCAAAGATTATGCATACTTTATAGATGGAATATTACTATCAACAAATTAAGAGTAGCTTTATTAATTGAAGTAAAGCTGTGGGATAAAATACAAATGAAATTATCAAGTAAAAAAAGAATCAGAAAGAATAACAGAAAGTTCCATTACAGACTATAAAAATTAAAGCTTTTGGAAAAATATGAAATCGTAGTATAAATACCTTTAGATATTACACGTGTATGGGTTCAAGATATAAACTGATATCATACATTTCTAAATTGACACGTTTTGCCAAATCTTATTGTTATAATACTATATTAAATTACCCACACTAAATGAAATATTGTTTCTTAAATAAAATATAACACACCCTATCTCTTCAAAAATTGTTTGAAAGGGTACTTTTTGAATATTTATAACGTTTGTTTTAAATATTCAAAAGGGTGACTAATTCATTTGAAAACGTGAAATCCAATACAAGCAAATATACAAGAATTCTAAATATGTTTAACAGGCCTTCGATTCCATCATCTCCGCCATTTTTGCTATTCATTTAGAACGCCATCTGGGTGTGAAATTATAAAACCAACCTTTTAGTAAAATAAATTATCGAAATATAAATCTCGAGAACGTATAAATTAAAGTTATAAAATGTATCCAAAGTTTCTTTGTTTACACGAAGTAAGACAACTGTTGTCTAATGGTGTTTATCGTCCGGCCATCATGATACATCTCCACCGACCCTATTACATAATACTGTTCAATAGCACATACGTGGGGATTCGCCTATAACCATCTTTGCCTGACAGTCACACTACCGCTTACTATACAAACCGTTCCCTTAACACTAGCCCTCGTTTTACCATATAAGCTCCCCCGCCAATTCCATATATGGAGTTGGTTCCTGTCTGCTACTACAGCTTTCTAGGAATCAGTGAAGGAGGGCAGATAAAAGCCGTTAGCACCGTTCATCGTTCACCAGTCGTTAAAAGACAGCACAGTAGTTAGAACTTACAGTAACTGGGAACAAATTTAAACACTAACCATGTGCGACGACGAAGTAGCAGCTCTCGTTGTAGACAATGGATCCGGTATGTGCAAAGCCGGATTCGCTGGAGATGATGCCCCCAGGGCCGTCTTCCCATCCATTGTTGGACGCCCCAGACATCAGGTCAGTTTTTGTTTTAAAATTTTATTTTATGATTTTTATCAGATTTTATTTATCATAAAGTTTGTTAAACAATTTCGATTGAAAGAAATTTGATAGAATACAAAGGAAATCCAATAGTTTCCAATAAATTTATAATTTGTTTCTTTAAAATTTATACATTGTGTGTAAAGCATTAATTTATGGATACTAGAAACTTTATTAGTACACGAAAATAATTACAAAACATTACGATTATTTTAAGTTAAATCTGATAAAATTATAAAAGAAACGAATGAAAGGGAAATTTAAAGTAACCATTCGAGCTTGTCTTCCTGGAATGAATGAAAAGTTATCTGAAGTTAAAATTGTCGATTAAACAACTTAAGATTTTATAGAGAAAAGAATAATATATGAAATTTGCTTTGCATGTATGAAATTTGCTTTTGATATACCGGTGCATGATTGTAACACTATTATTGGCAAGAAAACTTGCTTAGTAGGCACCATTCTTTCATTACAAAAATAGCCTACCACAAAGTGTGTTTCTTGGCACAAAATGCCTATTATTGAGAACGGTGCCAAAATTCGGATACATATGTAAAAACTGTAAGAAATGATGAACTCTTCTTGAATTTTATTAGCTTTGAAAGTCATTTGTTTTTAAATAGGCTACTTAAAAAGTTTATATAAAGAATTTAAGGGATCAAAATAGGCAAATAAATTGTTTTCGGTAGTACGCCTAATCAATTACAGATCTAGATCTAGAAGAATGTAAATCGGCAAGCGATGTAAATCAGTCTGGCGGGAAAAACGCTTTCATTTTGAATATATGTGGGATCTGAAAAAAAAACGTTTCAACGTTTTTGTCTTCTGGATTCAAAGTTTCTGAGCGCCTAACCAAACATGGCGGTTTGGCTAGCAACCGAACCGGCGCAGAATACCGGCATCAAGCAACACGTGTTTAGCCCACGCGCTCCCATCGACAAATATGGGCATGCCATGAAGTGCATGACATCATTCCATCACGTGATAAGATGTTCGGTTGCCATAGTGTCATGACGTTTAGCTCGAGTTTCAAGATGTAATACAACCACACTTGATGGCTTTCTTATCAACATCTGTCTTTTCCTTTTACAGACAGAACTTGATCACTTAAACAAATTTCACACTTACTCTTTAATATGAAACCAACTATCGTCTGCTTTAGTATCTTAGCATTATTTATTTAATGATATTAAATTTACGAAATCTTAAAACAGACTTGAAGACAGAAAGCTCGCTAACATTTTTATTTCCCAAGATGTAATTAATTTCAAAATAAAGTATAAACTAAGGAAATTGAATTTATTTTCCTTAAAATATTTATATATTTATTAATTTCTTTAATACCATGGAAAGCTTTACAATAAAAATAGAAACAACAAAAAAGTTTATACAGATTTTAAACATCAAATGACCTCATGTCTGCTAGAAGAAGAATAGCCAACGGTTTCATCATGTCGAAATTTCACGTTAATTCAATATGCGTGGTATAGTTTCTCGGCCGCGCGTGGATATTTCCCTTTTATACATTTATAAATTTAATCCCGATTTCTATTTCAAAACATATATACCTTAAAAAGCGTAGTCTAAAATTCATCGTACATGTCATAAGAGTTAACATAATTTTCGCTATGCCCAAAAGTTCCAAACGTAAATGGAATCCGCACGAATCACTGTTTTTTCGACGCACCGTTGCGATTTAGTAAAGATCTAACCCCGTACTTTTTCTCTTAAATTCTTTATTATTAACAACAAAATAGTATTAATTCTAGCCTTTAAATGACGCCATATTTATAAGATGATTCTTTTTCTCTATTACAGGGTGTCATGGTTGGTATGGGTCAAAAAGACAGCTATGTAGGAGATGAAGCCCAGTCCAAGAGAGGTATCCTCACCTTGAAATACCCCATTGAACACGGTATCGTCACCAACTGGGATGATATGGAAAAGATCTGGCATCACACCTTCTACAATGAACTCCGAGTTGCTCCAGAAGAGCATCCCGTCCTTCTCACAGAGGCTCCATTGAATCCCAAAGCCAACAGAGAAAAGATGACCCAAATCATGTTCGAGACATTCAACGCACCTGCTATGTACGTCGCCATCCAGGCTGTGCTGTCTCTGTACGCTTCTGGTCGTACCACTGGTATCGTACTCGACTCCGGTGATGGTGTCACCCACACCGTCCCAATCTACGAAGGTTACGCTTTGCCCCACGCCATCCTTCGTCTTGATTTGGCTGGTCGAGATTTGACTGATTACTTGATGAAGATCCTCACTGAACGTGGTTACTCATTCACAACCACCGCCGAAAGAGAAATCGTCCGAGATATCAAGGAGAAACTCTGCTATGTTGCCCTCGACTTCGAGCAGGAAATGGCCACCGCTGCTTCCTCCTCATCCCTCGAGAAGAGCTACGAATTGCCCGATGGTCAAGTTATCACCATTGGTAACGAGAGATTCCGATGCCCCGAATCACTCTTCCAACCTTCCTTCTTGGGTATGGAATCTGCTGGTATCCATGAAACCACATACAACTCCATCATGAAGTGCGATGTTGATATCCGTAAGGACTTGTACGCCAACACTGTCTTGTCTGGTGGTACCACCATGTTCCCTGGTATTGCCGACAGAATGCAGAAAGAGATCACATCTCTTGCTCCATCCACCATGAAGATCAAAATCATTGCTCCACCAGAGAGGAAATACTCCGTATGGATCGGTGGTTCCATCTTGGCCTCTCTCTCAACCTTCCAACAGATGTGGATCTCCAAACAAGAATATGACGAATCCGGCCCATCCATCGTCCACAGAAAATGCTTCTAAATTATTAACACCTTCGTTAGGATATCAAATATTCTCTGGTGTACTTGTCATATCTTGTATTGTCTCGCATTTAGCGATGATATTACTCTATGTGCCTTGTAAATATCAGGAATTTTTTTCCAAAAAAACATTTTTTAAAAACGAACACTTTTATTAAAAGCAATCTGAATCGCTAGTGTGAAACCAGAACTTATTTTCCGATAATGTTTTTATATTATGTAAAATACAGGTTCTTTTTAATTTAATTTTCTGTTGGTTATTATTTTTTTGTCATAAAATATTGAAGATGGATATTCACTGACTGTCTTTCATGATGAGGGCGAAAAGTTAAAAGCTTATTTTGTACACAAACACTGTCTCAGGTTTTTTCGATGTTTGTAGAAGAAAAATTGACTACATGAACGTGTTTAATGGGGTTGTACATGTCACGTGATTTGCTTGGACGAATCAAAAAACTCAATTATTGTTAATAAACTACGTCACTCCTCCCTTGAAGTTGTATAAAATGTAGACCTTCAACTGGGGCAAATAAAAAATTTGAAAATAATTGATCTTTTATTCTGTTTCTTCAAAGACCTACTGTTGATGTCGTGGTTTAAGGAAATGTGCTGAACGGTTTCGATATGTTGATAAAAGTTTCCCTTTGACATTGTCTTTCCCAACTTAGCAAAGATAGATAGAACACTTTCTCATCGAATAGGTACTTATATAATTTGTTTCCCACTCTTGCAAGGATGTGCAAGTCCCTCCCCAACTTCTTATTCCGGTATTCCAGAAATTGTTGAAACTACAGCTGCCCACTCAACCCTGTATAGATTTTTGTTGGTGCACAGTGCAGTGATTATCACTGATTTAGGTCGGCGTTAATCCTTGTGTCTGTTTTAGGTCGGCTTAAACTGTTGTTTCATATAGGTTTGACAGGAGAAAGGCAATGTGCTTTGCTGGGGCGACAAACTTGTGAACAGTATGTAGTGAATATCAAAGACGAAATTCAATTACACCCCCAACCCACCCCACCCCATGATTAGATGGTTAGTCCTGTGATATAACTTTACATATATGGGCTATTGCTGGGGGTTAATTCCAACTGTCCGAAGAGTTAACAAAAGGACAATGGCTTCCGTCATGGTTAGATGGTTAGTCCTGTGATATAACTTTACATATATGGGCTATTGCTGGGGGTTAATTCCAACTGTCCGAAGAGTTAAGAAAAGAACAATGGCTTCCGTCATCTTTCTGTGTGCTAAACGGACCCCAACCCCATAAAAAAGAAAAAAAAAGGAAACCGTACATCACGCGTGATAGATAGTTATCTCCCTTGCAGAATCTCCGACAATAGCCACCACCTTATAAATCACAAAGAGTTAGGCGAGATGACACAATACTAGATCTTTGTACGATCTGAGAAGTATCTTTCTCTGGGGTTAGGGTTCGGGTTAGGTTTATAAATTACATATCAAACGTACAAATTGAAGCTGTAACAACGGTGGATTGTGGCTAAAACTATTCTGAAGGGTTAGGGTTAGAATTGTGGGTATAAACACGGAAAGATATTTCTCAGATAGGAAAGATCTAGTATTATGCGGCGAGATGATTACCGAACGTTAAATCCCAGTTGTCACGGGATAAGGGAAAGCATCTCGAAATGACATATCAGTATGCTAGATCGCTGTACGAGTATACATCGTGCAAGTACGAAATGATATAATTTTTCCTCCGTGCCACAATACTTCCCTGGAAGGCAAGATAAATTATTTCAAAATTGTAAATATGCAATGATCTAGTCTCAAGTTTGACTAGAGGGGACCTAAGTGAAAAAGCATCAATTAAGCATCTAAATGACTCACAGGTTTTCATATGGAATCTATTCTAATTAATCGCTAATGATCAGGGCAGTGGTAACATTTGCTGACGTCTCCCTGCTTTCCTCAAAGGAAGAGTTGTCGGAAAATAATGTTAATATAAGACTTTCAACAATTATTTAGGTATTATTTGTGTGTCAATATTTCATCAGTTCAATGAATGAAATAGGGCTTAAAGAAACTAAGTCTCTATCTCAATATTTTCCGTAATATTCGAAATTAAAAACACGAATTAGAATTCAATATTGATCAATTTAAAAACTCGAATTCGAATTCAATATTGATGTTGTTATCTTGCCGTGAAACTATAATTTTGATGTTGTTATCTTGCCGTGAAACTATAATATCCAATATTTAAGATATAACAATTAACATTTTATAATCAGTACACGAGTCGTGTGTACCCTATGCTTTCGGGTGCCATTTTGTAATGATCAAATAAAAACAAATCCTACAACACAATATAGAAGTAATTAATAAAGGCTGATTCACAAACGACAAAATAATAATTTTAAAAAATGTACAGAATGCACTAACCAGGCGTAAACGATTGCCGCTCAATTTGAAATGTTTACGTATTTCACCGAACATTTTGATTAAAAATTACAATATTTCTTTCAAAAATTAAATATAAATCACTCTACATTCATTTATATTAAATTAATGTGTGGTTATAGAACCATTCTTGTCTGTTTCAAGGTTCCAATAAATGGAGCCATACACCCTTTAACGCCATACATTTCTGCACCAACCGGGGTAATACATTAAAGTTTGCCCTGTCAACGTTTCTTTTATGGGACATCGTTTTTCGTACTACCTACCCAAACGACTTGATGCTGTTCCTTGTCAAGCCCCTGTCCTTCACCCATGACAAGGGTGAGAATGTTTATCGGGATTTTCCGACCTGCTTACCCCCTTTTCAGCGGTGAAAGACGAAGGGCCTGGCAAAGGACAACTTATATAGTCGTTCAGATGGGACGAAAAACCGAGGTTCCGTGTACACATTTACCTGCACTTAAAGAACCCTTGGCAGTTGGGATTCGAAATAAGAGTAGGTCATATCGCCGCTTTTCGGGCAAAATTTCCCCCGTAGCGTATCCCCGTCTTCATTAACAGTAGGACGTTAAACTCCATTTTATTTCATTTTAACAGACGAAATGAAGAATGGGAGGTAACTCTGTATTGTATTCCTTGAATATGGAAGAGGACCACCATTAATTCACCGATTGACTTTAATTCCAAATGTTCGTTGGGCTGTGTGTGTGAGAGAGAGAGAGAGAGAGAGGGGGAGAGGGGGAGTTGACTTAGTAAGTAATTACACTGAACAGAACAGCAAAAGATATACATGTATGTGTAAAATTCTGATTTCGGAACCAGGTCATTTCGCGACTAACACATGGTTCAATTTTATTTCAATAATTCGCTTGCACGTACACATGTTTAGCAGTGGGGGGGGGGGGGGCAGGAGACTCAGAGAAACCCCACAAGGTTGAACAGGAAACCCTACTCCTTCTTTTCACGTACAACCGGGGAATCGAAACCACACGCGCTAACCTTTCGGCCATCCAACCCCCCAAATTGATGAGACAAGTCGGTGTTTAATATACAAAATGTAAAAGGACTAAATAGCACACATAGTCATACTAAGTTTTAAAACTTCTGTTTATATATATTTCAAAAAATGCAAAAAGAAAAGTTAAAAATAATTGTCCCAGTGAACCGTACAGTGGTGCACAGTTGGACAAGCTATTATTTTACACAGAAATGCTAAGATCTAGTTTTTCTATTTCAGGCCATGTTATATTTCTAAAAGTATAATAATTAAAAACAGGGCAATTAAAATGTAACAGATTAAAAAAAATTGATGGGTTAGACTGTGACAGTGTGGGGTACAGTACGTGGGACAATGTCCAAAGGTGCACGAAAGAACTATCCCATGACACCGCCTCCATGCCATACAGGTTTTATACACGACAGATATCAATAAAACTAATTAAAATTATTCTACACATAATTATGTTGCTTATAGAGACTTCTATTGTGAAAAAAATTCACAAAATGCAGTAATGATTTCTTTTTACTTTTGACCATCAAAAAGACTTTTTTTTTTATCTCAGCACAGATCAAAAATTAGGAATTTCCCTGAAAAAAATTTCGTTAATAAATTCATGTTCAGATAAGTTATCGGCTTTGTCCCACCGTGCCCCGCGTTCCACTGTGCCCCAGTCTCCCTACTATAGTCATTACAGATTTATAATATTACTTATATCACGTGGGTTATAAATCCTGTCTACACTATTTCCCGAATGGTTAACGCTTGCGCGTTGGCTTACAGGGTATGCCATTGTGTCAAGTGTCGTGGTTTCGATTCACCTTTTGTACGTGGCAAGGAGTAGCTAGGGTCGACTGTTTTTTAGTTTCAATGTTGGCTTACTGTGTCGGTTGTATCTCAACACTTGCGTTATCTATCGACGTAAACTTTATCAACGGTGAAAAGTTATAGTCCTACAAAAATATCAACATATAAAATCGACAATTGTATTTTGACCCAACGCAAACAGTTCCCGTCATCTTAGGTAAGCATAAGAATCAGACAGATGGTAGGCATCAAAATAGAACAAATAATAAATACTATACAGCAAACACGATCAAATTTCGCGGCCCGATCTCTCCTCTGCTTAAGATAATTGACTTCCATCTGTTCTTGTTCATGATTCGGCTGGGCATTTCCACCATACGGGTTTTCATCAGACTTCAATTGCGATTTATTTTGTAGGCCGTTTCTTTCTTCATCACTGTCAAGATTAACATGTCTTACGTCTTGACTCAAAGGAAGTATCTTCGATTTACATGAAAACCAATTAGATATGCCTTCTTTCTTTATACATGTATCATGAAGCCAGAGACTTACGATTATTGCCATGAGAATGGCAGAACTTTCACAGATTAAACAAGCCATATATATGCTAAGATAACTGATGGTGTCCGAATTGAAAGGTAGCGACTGATTAATATAGGTTATGTATATGGCGTAAGACAATAGTAAGGATATAGCTACACCTGTTCTTTCTCCACCGTCTGCAGGTAAAATAAATACGAAACTATTCAATAGTGATAAACATATAACCGGAAGTAGGTTATTTATCACGTGAGATAAAGCTCTTCGTTTAAAAGTCAAAGTAATTTCTGCTCTCGATACCAATTTGGGGTTTATTGGCGATTGTACAATCCACTGGACGTTATAACTAGCAGCAACAAGAATCCACTCTGAACTGTTTTGACAATTACTGAAATCCAGACAGAACGAACATGGTTTAAAAATAAGCCTGGATGCATTTCCACTGGCCGGCATGAAGAACAACTTACAGGTTTGGGTGTCGAATGGAAATTTCAAAATATTAACTGAACACAAAGTAACATACGTCTTACTATAAGTAACAACGACATATCGCTGTGGATAATTTTGAATTGTAGCTTTTTGTGTCCGGTCTAAACCAACTGCGTTATTAATAGCGTTAACTATGAAGATATCTGGTGTCCAAATGTTGTTTGATGGTAAAATCAAGGTGTTTGGCTTAGAGCTGTTATTTTCCCATTTTAAATAATCGTCTTCCCAAATTAATGAAGAAACAAAGGTGGTCGTCAGCTGTTGCTTTCGTTCATCAAGATTTCCTATTGAGGTGAA